TACAAAGTGAATATTTTTTTACATATTGTGATATTTTTTGTCAATTTTTTATTGCAAGATTTTTTTCTGATTAAGTGTGGAAAATCAAAATAGCGTATAACATTAATTTAGTGACTCCGCTCCTAATTCGATCAACACATCTAAATGGGGTTGTATCAAGACGTGGACCAGCTACATTCGTATTCGTTTCCATCTTATCTGAACCCAAAATATCAATAGATACAGATATATGGGGGTCATTTAAATAGAGTTATATTCTCTACAAAATTGAAGCGCTAAAATATTAATTTGGTTCGAAAATGTATCTCAATGTTTTAAAATACTTAAAAATGGGACGAAATGCGTATGTAAGTTTTGCCGAAAAAGATTTCACGCTACTAGAAATAAGAACTTATTTGGTCGAAATTGCGGCGTTAAATGCAAAACGACGAGTGTATCTTGTAGGTTTATATAAAGGCTATATCTAAACGGTAACCAATATTTATTTATTTTTTTCCTTCAAAATATCACAGATCTATACTTGCGACCAGAAGAATAGTGAGCCCCTAAGAGAAATGGGTTCAATAGACTACCCTCAAAAAAAAAACACATCCCAGCAATGCGGCCCAAACCTACCACCATAGCTATGAGGTGCATATATCCAAACTAGAGTCTGGTACCGTTTTATAGGAGCTATGTGAAGATGCGGACCTACATTTTCTGTTATATGGAGTGACACCTATTACAAACTTCAAATACAAAATTTGGGAACATTTTGGCGAATAGTATGAAACAAATCATCAAAATTACGAATATCTGGTGGCAGAGACAACTCCAAGAATGTTTCCAACATACTGGGGACCGAATTAATTGTCAATTAGTAGTTTACAAATTGACAGTAAATTCGGTTTAAAACTGTGACTAAAACCCCGAATACATCTTAAATCTGCTGGTACTGTTATATGGGCCATGGACCTACGTAACCAATTTGCAATACCAACAATTCTACGGACCTAAAATACACATGAGTGACATTTTTATACCCTCCACCATACATAATATGGAGGGTATATTAAGTTCGTCATTCCGTTTTAACTCATCGAAATAATCATTTTAGACCCAACAAAGTATATATATTCTTGATGAGCGTAAAATTCTAAGACGATTTAGCCCTGTCGTCCGTCTGTTGTAATCACGCTACAGTCTAAACGAATTAAGATAGGATGCTAAAATTTTGAATAGATCTCTCTTTTGTCTGCAGGCAGGTCAAGTTCGAAGATGGGCTATATCGGTCCACGATAGCCACATTTTTCAATGGAATTGTCTGAAATTCCACAAAAGGAGTCCCTTGTGGGCATTTTACACCCTCAAAAAGAATTTTCTATAAAGGTCCACGATATCGTATATCCCCCATGTAACTGTAACCCACGATATTCGGTATTTGGATAATGTTAGCCACATTTTTCAATGGAATTGTTTTAAAATCCACACAAGTAGTTCCTTGTGAGTACTTTACCCCCTGAGAGAGAATTGTCTATACAGGTCCACGATATCGTATATCCCACATATAACGGTACCCCCCGATATTCGGTATTTTCATGATTTTATCCACATTTTTCAACGGAATGGTCAGAAGGGGTTCTTTGTGAGCACTTTACCCCCGACAAAGAATTCTTTATATATGTTAACGATAACGTATAGCGCTATTGAAGCGCTAAAATACTAAGTTGGTTCGAAAAAGTATCTCAATGTTTTAAAATACTTAAAAATGGAACGAAATACGTATGTAAGTTTAGCCGAAAAAGGCTATATAAAGGCTATATCTAAACGGGAACCAATTATTATTTATTATAACCTCCACCATAGTATGGAGGGTATATTAAGTTTGTCATCCCGTTTGTAACACCTCGAAATATATATAGCTATTATATAAGCATATATTTTTTTCAAGTTTCGCATTTGAATATTGTAATAGCTTGTGACAAAAGTTGCCTATGCAGGTCCACGTCGTCGTACAGACCCTAATATACGGCTAGATAAGGTATTTTTTTATTTTTTGAATTTTTTGAAAATTGCCAAATTTGTACCAAATGGTGGAGGGTATTCAAAGTTCGGCCCGGCCGAACTTACATCTTTTTTTACTTGTTTTTTTTCCTTCAAAATATCACAGATCTATACTTGCGACCTGAAGAATAGTGAGCCCCTAAGAGAAATGGGTTCAATAGACTACCCTCAAAAAACACATCCCAGCAACGTGGCCCAAACCTACCACCATAGCTTATATCCAAACGTGAGTCCGGTACCGTTATATAGGAGCTATGTGAAGACGTGGACCTACATTTTCTGTCATAGGAAGTGACACTCATTACAAACTTCAAATACAAAATTTGGGAACATTAGGGCGAATAGTATGAAACAAATCATCAAAATGCCTAATATCTGGTGGTACAGTTCTGTGGGGTCTATTACAAAACATGGCCATATATGGAGACAACTCCAAGAATGTTTCCTACATATTGGGGACCGAATTTATTGTCAATTAGTAGCTTAGAAATTGACAGTAAATTCGGTTTAAAACTGTGACTAAAACCCCGAATACATCTTAAATTTGCTGGTACTGTTATATGGGGGCCATGGACCTGCATAACCCATTTGCAATACCAACAATTCTACGGATCTAAAATACACATGAGTGAAATTTTTTATTCTACTAATTCTCCTCGAATGCTACAGTTGCTATTATGTGGTCTAAAATGCTTATACCGAGAAGTTACAATCGGAATGACAAACTTAATAATAAACATAAGTTTTTTTTTTTAAGAGAAAAGTTGAACGATTGCGGGACATATAGGTTAAATAGATCAATTTATTTTGTAGATTAGTATGATATAAACAATATACATAAACCACCAAAACGAAGGGCCAGCAACATGTACCGGGCCAGCTAGTAATTAATAAAAATTTTAATAAAAAATAATTGATTTCATTGTAAACTTAATAAAAATAAAAATGTTTTGTTATGTTTCTTTGCATTTGGGTTGCAAAAGGTTTCCGTTCTATTTCAAAAGGTTTCATTCCCGTTGCAAAACGCTTCTTTTCCGCTGCAAAATATTTAATTCCTTTGCAAAAGGAATTCGGCCTTGTATCCTCAAATATTGTGCGGATAGCTTAGCACTCCCACTATACATTATATTTAACAAATCTCTTAGCTTCCAATAAAATGGAACAAATCAAATTTACAAACCAGGAAATTGATAAGAGCCTTTAATTACAGACGCATTGCTAAACTAAATAGTATTCCCAAAATGTTTGAAAAAATAATAAGCGACATAATATCATTTGAGATGTTATCCATTTTATCGAAATACCATTCTACTAGGAAAAATCTTTTGGAAGTAACTACTATGGTAAACGACAAAGATAATTTAAAATTGTTGTTACTTAAATTGGTTTCAGTCCTTCTTTATTAAAGTGGATAAACTCATACCTGACAGGCCGAAATCAAATTGTGTTTCACAGGGGAGCCATATTGTTCCAGTACTATTTAGCTTATTATTAAATGATTTACCAAATGTAGTACATTATTCTGTTTTATAAATGTATGCGGATGGCGTGAACCAAAAACAATTCTATGAATTAGGCCAAATTGGAATCAGATATTTCCTCTTTTTATGAATGGTGTGAAATCAACTTACTACAAGTAAACATTTTAAAATGTCAACATATGACATTCTTTAGATGCCGAAAAATTGATACACATTACTTTCTTAACCCATTATCGCCGGCTCCCTTATTTGTGGGAGAAAAATGTTGAAACTTAGTGGAGGATGCCATAATGTCACTCATATTCCGCGCACAAAAATTCAGCCCCATATCTCTACCCCTTGCTCGTGCAGGGGGTGGTGCGTTTTCGCACCCGTCGCCGTTACTGAGTACAATTTTAGTACTAGAAAATGTTTAAATAAATTTATAGCATTGTAAAGGAAAATACATGAATTAAGTTGGAATTTTAATAACATTACTCAAAAATTAGACGATAATATTAAAAAATAGTGAAGTAATACATGTTCCAAAGGTTGCACGTTATCATACCCTCCACTTTGGAAAGGAGTGTATATAAACTTTGTCATTTCGTTTGTAACATCCCTAAATATTCGTTGAAAACCCCATAAAGTATATATATATTCATAATTAGCACACAATTATAACTCGAATTAACGTTGTCCGTCCGTCTGTCTATCTGTCAGTTGAAATCAAGATACAGCCCCATTATTTGACGTAGAGCGTCAAAATTTAGCAGAACAGTTTGTATTGTGTCTAGGATGGTTGGTATTGAAAATGATATATATCCGTCCACGTTTTGGTATAGTCCCCATACAACGGTACCCGCCGATATAGGGTATTTTGATGATTTTAGTTACACTTTTCGATGGAATTCTCTGAAATTCAACACAAAGAGTTCCTTGTGTGTACTATACCCTCTGAAAGAGAATTATCCTACAATAGGTACACAATATCGTATATCGCCCCATATCGCTTCCAATATTCGGTATTTTTATTTTTTTTTTTTTTGAAAATTTCCTAATTCGTATCATATGGTGGAGGGTATTTAAAGTTCGGTCCAGCCGAACTTACTGCTTTTTTACTTTTTCTAATTATGAATATTGGAGAAAATTTGTTTGAGAAAATAGCAACGCTAATCGACACAGAAAGTGAGTCTACGAGGATCCTTAAAAGTAACTATGTTGCTATCTCGTTTCCTTTGCCATGCTACAAACAAATGCACAAAAGTATAATACGCTGTGGTTTAGGATATATAAATTGATATTGAATTTGTAATATTTTTGTCTAATCGGATAATGTACGCAGGAATGTATATATCCCAGTTTTCCTTCCATTACTTCATTACAGTAAAAAATATATAAGTATCTATATATTTTCAATTTATTAATATATCTAAGGATAAAAACAAAATATTTATAACAAGTCTCAATTAAAGAACGTAAACCATTTACTGAACATTAATGTTGTGGTGGCAAATATGCGGCAGAGCCAGCACCTTGTTGGAGACTATCAAAAATACCAATTACTGATTTAACAACAGAAACACCCTCATCTGAGATGCTTGTGCTACCGCCCAAACGATCGTATTCAGCCTGAATATGGTGTTGAGCATGCTCAGCTTCTTCATTGGTGCGATATTTAATGAAAGCAACTTCTGGTTTGCTAGTGGTTGTGACAGGTTCTTGAACAAATGTTTCAACAATAGGGGCATCAGCTTTCTTAGATAAAACATATACGGCAGTTTTTTCTTCATTCACTGCGGGGATGACACGGACTTTAACCTTTTGTTGTTTTTCGGTGGGAGCTTTAACGAAAACTACATTGTAGTTTTTGCGTGGTGTGCCCACAGCAATATCATGTTCTTGAACTTCTACACCTTCATCTTGAGGTGCTGAATGAATAAAGAAACGCTTTGTAATCAATGGTTTTGCCCCATACAGGCCAGCATCGGCTGTATTTTTCAGGCTAGGGTAGTTATATCCTTGATGAGAGGCAGAGCAGAATGCTACCAAACACAATACCTTAAATGTAAAAATAAATTGGAATTACAGACTCAAAAAAAAAAAAAAAAATATTATATGTTTACCATTATTCCACGCATGTTTTGGGCTTTTTAAAGTAGAATGAATATTCTATATTATTCTTTGAACTCTTCGAACTAAATTAAGTTTAATGTGTCTCACTACTATTGTATTTATACTAGTTATAGGTGCAAATTTAGTTATCATTTATGAAAAGTAACCATATGCCATCATTAGTAGGCGATGACCCTCAAAAAGTTATTGGTTCAAACATGTACACTCCATTAGTGAATTGGTGTTACACATGCCGAAAATTACAGTTAATATTGAACACCTAATGTCATAGTGGAAAACTTAAGAGTATTCAATCCGATTTAAACAAATATTTTAATCAGCTTTATGCAAATAACACTGTGTATAATTTTTCATGCGAATGTAATCATACGTCGACATCTCTATGTAATAGAAGACCTAAAACAATTTGTTTTAGTGGCCAGAACATTTGGGCATTCTTAAATTATGCATGAGAGTTTTATTTTTTTTTTTTGCTTTGAAGCAATGAGACGAGAATAATTTTCGAACATTTAATCTGTAATAATATAATGGAAGAAAATGAATAAAAGTTTTATAATCACATATTGACAACGATCTCTTCTTATAACACTGTGGAACACAAACAATAACTACTGGAAAAAATTCAGCAGATGATGAAAGTAAAGTTAAAAATAGAGGACGATTTTTTGAAATTTTACTCCGCAAAGTAATTTAAATAATTTACACATTTCTTCGAATTTTTCTGATTGAGATTCCTTGAGACACGTTGATTTTATGTATATAGTGTTCTGGACAATATTACTAATAACAATACGAGGATTATTTTGTCAAAAAAATTAACACTTATGTGATTACCATAAGACCCAGAATGCATCAAAAGTATAAAACTTACATTAATGCAAGGAATTGATAAATATTAAAGACACATTTGAGGTTTAAAGCCGTACTTTATGTGAGTTTAATATTTCATACAGAATGTCAATATAAATTTGAGAATAAATCATATATCTACGTTTTAGTATACATACTAATGGAGTAAAAAGTATAAACGCGTGGTAAAAAGTACAAAAGATACAGAATATAATTTCAGAAAAATTACAGTCAGAATTCCACAATCTATCAGGAACGTGATTTTCTTAAAAATTATTTAGAAGAATACTTTCTTGGATCTCGAAGATTCTATAAGTAATGAATTCATATTTTTATTACTTTCGTCATGTAATCGGAGGTATGTAGTGAATAAACTACAGGGTGAAATAAAAAAAACTGCAAAAAAGTCAAACGCCATAATTTTTACACTTTTTATACCCTACAACACTATGTGTTGGGGGTATTATCAGTTTGATTGGTCCAAAAATTATGTAACACCTCGAAATATTGGTTTCCCATATAGGAAAGTATATATGGATCTTCCTAGCTCGCCGAGCTGAGTCGATTTAGCTATGTATGTCCGTCTGTCCATGTTAATTTGTAATCACTCTACAGGTCGCAATTATGGTCCAATCTTCACGAAATTTAGAATGGAAGTGGGGCTAAAGCCAGAATAGAACCCTATTGCTTTTGGAGATGATCGCATAATATTTAGATGTTGAAATGGACTAAAAACTGAAAAATTTTCTGATTTTGCAGTTGCTCTACAGGACGTAATTATAGATAAATCGACGAAATCGAAGTTAGCATGGGCCTTCCAATTTTGATGGTCATCGGATAATATTTAGTGGGTGAATTTGTGTTAAACAAAAGTCAAATTTTCCATTAAACCGCAAAAATTTTTAATTCCGGCGAAATCACAAATAGACGAACAGGTCAATTACGACCGTTACATAGATGCCGATAGTAAATATATCGGATATATATAGCGAAATATAAACAATGTATATATACAAAGGAATGGGATGTTTGCTAGAATGCTTATATATCAAGAATGGCAGGACCGATTTTGACAAATTTTGTCAATTCAAACTGCCCTATTGCCATAAAAGTATAAAATCTAAAAAAAATCGCGAAATCTTTTTTAAATGTTATTGAATGAAACCAATAAATGTCGGAAATAGCATAAAATTTTAGAATAAGTTTTGATTTGTTCGAATTGGTCACCTTTGGTACGAATTATGGCCTTCCAACCGTCAAATGCTGCCCGAATATTGCTCTGCGGTAGTTTGGCCCATTTCCGGCAAAGTGCTTGCTTGAGGTGATCGACACTGTGGTATTTTTTAGTGCCAACATTGCTTTGGAATCCGGAAATTTTGTTGGCCTTTGTGCGCTGGAAATTAAGCGAGGAGTGATATGGTGCCGAGTCTTGTTGGAATGTACAAGTTCAAAATATTTGCGAGCCCAAGGTTTTAATACACCCTCCAGAATATTTTGCGATAATATTCGCCATTTATTCCGATGACCCGGTCGATTAATACGAGCGGAGAGCGACCATCGGCTGTTATGGTGGCTCATACCATCACCATGGCCGGCGCTTGAGTTCTGGTGGCCACGAGTAACGAGCCATGATACGAGACACATTCACATTTAAATGCTGGAGTGCTCTAATGATAGCCACTTGTGGTTTTCCAGCCAAATATAAAGAAATCACACTATCACGCTTGAATTCCATCACGAATAACTTCTGGAAAATCCTCACCAAAATACTTTTATACGCTTATAAACAATGTAATAAACTGTCACTTGAATAATTTTAACAGCTGTTGGACGAGTGGCTTTGTAATTGGTTGCAGTTTTTTCATCTCACCCTGTATATATTTCAGTCCGATTTTATAAATTTGATGCACCAAATACGCTATGTGACTCCGATTAAAATGAAATTTGTTATATGTAACGGAATTTGGTCTAAAAAATATTTTTTCAAATTATTTTGAAATCTGTTGAGGTTTGGACATAACTCCCATATATATTCAATATATTTGATATGTATGTCATATTTCAGTGACTAACATATGCATAATTTACAATTTGCTACTAAAACTGTTGATAAATTGAAGACGATTGATAAATTTTACTCTGGTGTATTTTAGGTCCGCAGAATTGTTGGCATTTGAAATAATATATCTTTAAACATTCCGTTTTGGTATAGCAACCATATAATGGCAAATTTTTCAACGGCACTATTTTTTTTTAAATTCAAAATTTGGAATTGGCAATGGGTTCTACTTCCTATGACATTAAGGTTCACGTCTTTGTATAGCCCCCATATAACAGTACCTCCGATATTCGGTATTTACAATGTTAGTGACATTATTCAATGGAAGTATTTGAAATTTGCGGTTCGGAGTAGGTTCAGCTTCCTACTTCACAAAATCGCTAATACAGTTGTACGGCAGCGTATAGCCCCCACATATTGTGGCTCCTATGTTCGGTACTTCGATGATTTAGAGATTTTTCCACAAAATTGTTTTAAATTGGGAATTGGTGATGATAATGTGTACTAAATTCTCTGACAGAAAATTATCTGTATTGGTCCACATTCTCGTATATCCCCCATAAAACTGTACACAGCAATATTCGGTATATAAGGGTACCTTTGTATGTTCGGTATTTTCTGATGTATACAGCACTTCTCAACGTTATTTTCTCAAAATTTGTATTTGAAGTTCGCAATAGGCATTTTCTGGCATTAAGTTGGCAATAAGGACCCGATTCTTAGGATTGAACCACCGTAAATGTTCGGTATGTTGTTAATTTTAGGGGCGGTTGGTTCAACGTGATTCTTTTACATTTTGTAAGTTTCTGCCAAATGGCCCGGCCTAACTTAACTGCTATTTCACTTTTTTTTCTTTCTCTAAATGCAGAGGTCGACTGATACTGCAAAAACGTGCGTCAGAAATAACGGAGAATTTTGAAACCAAAATTTTGGATTTTTCAAATTTTTATTTGTTATCCGTTTCTGTAATTGTGGATTTTATATAAATATGTCTTTGCCATGAGCTGTTAATCTATGTATTGTAGACACAAACCATTTGCTCAGAATGCATTTTGTCTAGTCTTTACCATTTTAGGTCTTTGCCTATGATTCTTTGAACAAAATACATTTCATGACATTTGGAGTCGATCTAGTGGTTTCCGTCTGTCCGTCTGTCACGATAACTCTCTCGCGGAAGTACTATATATTTTTAAGCTTGATGCATAAAAATATTATTGTTAATCTTAGATCGAGTTCGGATATGGGCTATATCGGTCAACACCTTTAGACAAAATCATTAAATTTTGTGCAAATTTGCAAATCCTAATATTTTTATCACCCCTGAGTCAGGTGCACAAATGGGTCGACATTTTGAATAATTTAACCTCTTATAAGTGTGAAATAAGAGTCTTATTGTCCTCCTATTAGTCTGCTCCTTCTGGCAGGTCTCCCTAGAAGAATCAAAATTTTGATTAATTAAAACTATCATAAAATGTGAAATAAGCATCCGATTCTTTTTGAAGATGGAATATATATGTTCACTCTTCTTCCCCACAAACTGGTCAAAATTATGAATAACAAAACGATCATGAAGTTGGAAATAAGCATCCGATTCTCTTCATATTTTACAAATTCCATTTTTTTAATAAAACAAGATTTTGGGTAAATATGATAGATAATGACCTACATTTTCTGATGCCTTAGACATAACTCTCATAACTCACGAAACAAGTAAGCGATTCTTTTCAATCTCGGTATATCTAAAAAATTCTCCCAACCAATAATCTAATGTGAATACGGAACTTACGGGCCCCACTCCTACTTTTCCCACAAAAGGTGTTCGATTTTCCTTAAAATCCCAATATTTTCATCAGTGTTAGATGAATATATGGTACCTCACGGACATTTCAACATTTTCCAAAAAGTATAACTGCTGTGTAGTATTATTGCTCACTTCGGGGTCGTTATAATAATTATTTCATACCTATACAGGGTTGTCCATATTCGACGGACCCATCTAGCAACGCCATAACTTTTGACAGAGATGTCACATCGCTTAATGACATACCGTGTTTGAAGCGTCAGTCCAAGCAGATTTTTACCATGAACCAATACACG